TGGTGAGCTGGGAGGTGCTGTGTGCTTGGTGGTGGTACTGTGTACTTGGTGGTGGTGAGCTGGGAGGTGCTGTGTGCTTGGTGGTGGTACTGTGTGCTTGGTGGTGGTGAGCTGCGAGGTACTGTGTACTTGGTGGTGGTGAGCTGGGAGGTGCTGTGTGCTTGGTGGTGGTGAGCTGGGAGGTGCTGTGTGCTTGGTGGTGGTGAGCTTGGAGGCACTGGTGCTGTGTGCCCTCCCTGGGACACACTGGGCCTGCACAGAGCCACGGCTCGGCTCCTGGACTCTCCCTGGGCCTGCACAGAGCCACGGCTCGGCTCCTGGACTCTCCCTGGGCCTGCACAGAGCCACGGCTCGGCTCCTGGACTCTCCCTGGGACTGCACACCACTTTTTTGTTTTTCTTCGTTATTTTCTAATTGCAAAGGAATTTGGTGCGTGTTTTAACGCTCACCTCTTGCTCATCTCTGTTTTCTGAGGCCCTGGGATGAACAGGAACGGCTTATAGTATAAAACAGGCAGTTCTTTTGTTTTAAAAAAGAAAATAGGAAAAACACGGAGAGGGAAAACTATGGGACCATATCCAAAAAAGACTGTGCCGTGGTCCTGCTTGCTTTAAATATCAGGCTTAAAGATCTCTTAGGAAATTCCATTTTCCCCCTAAGTGAAATTCTAGCTAGGGAATACTCTGGAGCAGAGACTCGGCAGAGATGCTGTTGACTCATTGCAGACCTGGGCAGCGGGGCTGTGGCTGTCTGTCAGACCTGGGCAGCGGGGCTGTGGCTGTCTGTCAGACCTGGGCAGCGGGGCTGTGGCTGTCAGACCTCGGGAGCGAGGCTGTGGCTGTCTGTCAGACCTGGGCAGCGGGGCTGTGGCTGTCTGTCAGACCTGGGCAGCGGGGCTGTGGCTGTCTGTCAGACCTGGGCAGCGGGGCTGTGGCTGTCTGTTAGACCTGGGCAGCGGGGCTGTGGCGGCCGCGCGTTCACCGCCCTGCAGAGACGCAGGCGTTGCCTGCCCTTCCTTCTCGGCTCCGGCATAAATCACATCACAGTATTTTCCTGACAAGCTCTTAAATCTACGACTTGTAATGAACAGTGCAGTTTCTCCTCGCCCTGCTAGGAATCACTAATTAAACACAGACTTCACATACAAGGTCAGTTATTGGAAATGCTGTGTTAACAGCTCCATATTAAAAACAACCCCAAGTGAGCGGGCCCCTGTGGGAGCTGGCGTCCAAGACGCCCGTCCCACGGAGGCCGCTGGAGGAGGCCGCTGGAGGAGGCCGCTGGAGGAGGCCGCTGGAGGAGGCCGCTGGAGGAGGCCGCTGGAGGAGGCCGCTCGGGCTGGTGACCACAGTGAGGTTGCTTCAGGCAAATGCCACCTTAAAAATCGGAATTGTGGGATGTCACTTGGGCTATCATGGAGATTGCACCACCCAGCTCAGCCAGGGGCTGCGTGCGGGACCCCGCTGGCTGAGCCGGTCTCCAGCTTGGGTGGGTTGACTTCCGGCAGTGGAAGTAAGTCACACCTCCACCCACCGGGAAACCCAAGGCCAGGCCTTCCAAGTGCCCGGCCGCCGCAGTCATCACAACCACGAGAGGCACACGGCCCAGCCCTCTGTGGACAAGCCAATGGCCAGTCAGAGCAAGGGACAGCAATCTGGCGGCTCACCGGCCCCGCGCCCGGGAGCCGTCTGCGGGTGCCCCGGAGGCTGCGATCGCCCTCCGCTCACCCCCTTCCTCCCATGCATCAGTTACAAGGGAGCTGGCACATGACCTTCTCGCCTGTCGGACCTCAGTCCACTCCCAGGAGAACCAAACCAGCCGCCCTGCAAGCCCCCGTTATCCTTCAGATCGCTGACCCGCCCTGTATCACTAACCGTGAGCCCCTGTGAGCCCGCGGAGGTGCCCACACAGTAACCCCAACAACTGCAGTGCACGTGAGCGCAGGTGACCAACGATGCCGCCGCCGCCGCCGCCGCGAATCACGGTGACCACGTGGCAATGCGCGGCCCACGCCCTCTGCCCTGAGGAGCGGCTCTGCCGAGTCCCAAGCGCAGGGCTCAGTCCCTGGGGCCTCCCGGGTGGACATGGAAGAACTGGCCAGGGCACCTCTGAGACAGCACGCTGCCCCGTAGACCAGCGAGGGCAGGTTCACGGCACAGCCCCAGATGTGGGCCAGGTGGCAAGGAGAGAAGGGGAGTCCGGGAGACGCCAGGCCGACACTTGCGGAGAGCTGGGCTGGGGTGCGGCCGGTCTGGGCTACCAGACCTGATGCGCTGCCCAGCCCCCGAGGGCCCCCCCGCCAGGGTCACAGCCCCCGAGGGCCCCCCCGCCAGGGTCACAGCCCCCGAGGGCCCCCAGCCAGGGTCACAGCCCCCGAGGGCCCCCAGCCAGGGTCACAGCCCCCGAGGGCTCCCCCATCCAGGGTCACAGCCCCCGAGGGCCCCCAGCCAGGGTCACAGCCCCCGAGGGCCCCCCATCCAGGGTCACAGCCCCCGAGGGCCCCCAGCCAGGGCGACCCCGTTCCGAATCAGACTCCGCTCACTTCTCCGCCCCTCACCACCAAGCTCAATGGGCGTGGGGTGACGTGGACTTCACCTCCAGGAAAATGAAACTGGCAGCTTTCACAGGAATGAAAGAATGAACACCAAGAGTGGGCCACGAGCGACGGCGAGAGCCGCGTTTCCAATGTGTGGCACATGAACACACGCTGGGCCGGAAGGACCCGAGTCTGCCTCCTCCTCCAGGGCCGCTGGCTCGGCGTGCCCTTCAGCCAAGGTCATTTCCACCCCTGCTCTTGTGGACGGCTCCGCCTGGCACCTGACAGGAGACCCAACGCACAGGAAATGGAAAAACTTACTGAAGCCATTTTCCCTGCCAGGGTAGAAACAGTCCAAAGTGGGACGCTACACCACCACGGCCGTGGTGCCAAGTCGTGAAATGCCATTCCAGCACCTTCCAAGTGCAGCAAGAGGAAGCCAGAGATGAGCAGAACAGAGCCGGAGGCCGGGACTCCTCGGGGATGAGCCGGCCGCCAGGCCCGCGGCTGCCGAGTATCAGAGCAAGGGGGCCGCCGACCCTTCCCTCCCCAGCCCCCCGGAGCCCCTCAGCCAGGGCCGGCCGGCGGCCCCGCACTGGCATCAACCTGACAGCAGGATGAAGCGCTTCCACTGCGCAACGCGATTGCATGGTGGTGCTTGCACACGCGCACACGCACACACACACACCTGGTGTGCTTAGCAAAGTCACCTCCTTTTTCTTTTTTAAGTGAACCGCAACGTGGCAAGGGATGACTATTTCCGTTATTTATTTTCTGAGTATGTGGTACTGAGACCCCCAGGGCCTCATGCGTGCCAGGCACGGCGCTCTGCCCCAGCCACCCCCCAGCCCACCTCCCCTTACTGTTTCTTGGTCCCCTCCTTCTAGCACCTTCCTGAAGTTTTCCGTGGGTCCCACGCAAGTCCACGAGGCATCTCATCCCTCCCTCTCCCCTCCCCTTCCCTCCTTCCCTCCCAGCTGGTCTGCCCTCCCCACCAGCCCTCTTGGTGGTCACTGGGTTTTCCATTCTGCACATGAAAGCAAGCACGCAGTCATGGTTTTGTGTTTGGTGATCATCATAATCATCAGAGACATCAGAGCACACATGCTGGGAGCTTGGGGCCGTCCGTTCTCCTGAGCAGAACAAGGCTGGTCTCACACGTCACACGGAGTGCAAAAGTCCTCGAGTGCATGGGGGCACGCACGCACGCATGCGCACACATGCACAGGCACACACAAGTGCACAGACACACACGTGCATACATGCACACGTGCACACACATGCACAGGCAAACACACATGCATGCACATGTGCATACATGCACACACGTGCACATGCACACTCACACAGGTGCGTGCACAGGAACGCACATGCACACCTGCATGCATACACATGCACATGTGCACGCACACACGTGCACAGGCGTACACACAGGCAAGCACACACACACCGACACACACAAGTGCACACATGCATGCACACACACGCATGCACGTGCACACAGGCACACTCACCCACATGCAAACAGGCATGCAAAGCACACACACACATGCGCACACACACAGCACACACACATGCGTGCACACATGCACACATGTGTGTGCACACACACATGCGTGCCTACACACGCGCACACAGGCATGCGCACGCACACATGCACGCACACACGCACACACATGTGCACACACGCAGCACACACACATGCACACACACGCAGCACACACACATGCACGCACACACGCACACACATGCACACAAGGATCCGGAAACAAGATGCTGCCCCCTGGGGTCACCGTCCCTGCTGCAGACCCCACAAGGCAGCCGGGCAGGAGACCCTTCTGTCAGCTCCAGTGGTGACTTACTGGGAGACTTTGAGAGAGAAATGCTGTAATTCCTTTCTGTGCAGCCGTTCACATCGGGAAGGCAGAAGACTCTGCCGAGCACTTCCCTCTCCAAAATGGCAGACCCACCGGAGTTGTCAGGTGTGCAGGCTAGACCCACACCCAGCTGTCAGGTGTGCAGGCTAGACCCACGCCCAGCTGTCAGGTGTGCAGGCTAGACCCACGCCCAGCTGTCAGGTGTGCAGGCTAGACCCACGCCCAGCTGTCAGGTGTGCAGGCTAGACCCACGCCCAACTGTCAGGTATGCAGGCTAGAACCACACCCAGCTGTCAGGTGTGCAGGCTAGACCCACGCCCAGCTGTCAGGTGTGCAGGCTAGAACCACACCCAGCTGTCAGGTGTGCATACTAGACCCACGCCCAGCTGTCAGGTGTGCAGGCTAGAACCATACCCAGCTGTCAGGTGTGCAGGCTAGACCCACGCCCAGCTGTCAGGTGTGCAGGCTAGACCCACGCCCAGCTGTCAGGTGTGCAGGCTAGACCCACGCCCAGCTGTCAGGTGTGCAGGCTAGACCCACGCCCAGCTGTCAGGTGTGCAGACTAGACCCACGCCCAACTGTCAGGTATGCAGGCTAGAACCACACCCAGCTGTCAGGTGTGCAGGCTAGACCCACGCCCAGCTGTCAGGTGTGCAGGCTAGACCCACGCCCAGCTGTCAGGTGTGCAGGCTAGAACCATACCCAGCTGTCAGGTGTGCAGGCTAGACCCACGCCCAACTGTCAGGTATGCAGACTAGACCCTCGCCCAGCTGTCAGGTGTGCAGGCTAGACCCACGCCCAGCTGTCAGGTGTGCAGGCTAGACGCACGCCCAGCTGTCAGGTGAGTCAGGTGAGCAGCCTGGGCAGCTGATTACAGCCAGGCTTTGTGCTTTGAGCTGCCGCCGCCGCCGCCACCACCTATGGAAGGATCTAGAAGAGGCTGTAGTTGCAGGCACCCAGCCTTCCCACCTGGCTGGATGCGTGGCCCTGCCTTGGTTTTTCCAATAACAACTTTGTGACGACTAGGGATACTTTTTTAAGTATATGAACTTAACGTTATCATTTTACATAGGGATTTGTGCCTGTGTCCTTCACTTGTGGACTAACGTCTACAAATCCCAGTTAGCATAACAGATGACTGTATAAGACCCTTGTACTGACTACACTATTCATTTTGTGATTTGCAAATATACATTGAAGACTTTTCTCTTTTAAAGGGAACACAGTCACATCATCAATTACTGAAAACGCTACGTGTACTCAGGACCATTATGAGTTCATAGTCTATATTTTATACTTCAAATGTTTCAGACTGTAAAGCATCATTAAAATTTTAAGAAAAAAAATCAACCCTTACTTCAGAGACTCACTATACCCTTTGTGCTACAAAGCATGGCGTAGTTCCCTCTGGTCTGACCACTAGCCTTCAATTAAATGTCCACCAGCCACGTCTACCCTTGTCCTCCATTCCAAACGCCTGTACAATGCATGGGCCCTGAGTCATTTTCCTGGGTGTCCAAGACACTTGTCCACTTTCACAGGAAACTAAGAAATAAACGCTCTGAAAGCATTCAAAAGACAAACCAAAACTACTTTTTTACTCATATGAAATTCAGGATCGTGAACCCTATTTTATGAAGTATGAGTGCTATCAAAAAGAAAATGTCAAATGAAGTCATAAATTCAATCATCACCGTCTTCTCCAGATGGTGTGATGGCTTCCTTCAGACCAGTTTAGCCGGAACGGCCCCGTGGCTCACAATCAGTGGGACACGGAGCACATTACAGAGCAGGTTGTTTTCCAAACCTCCAGACGCACAGACTCTCTGGTGAGTTGACATGATATTCAAATCCATCCACGTAATGTGCACAGCCCACAAAATGCCAAAGGACAATTGACGTGGCACCTGCCCAGAACTCCAATCGCTCTAAAAAGCTGCGGCGCCGTCAGGTCATGAAGTCTCCCACGTGTGAGCAGAGCCCTCCTCCATTTAAAACAGGAAGTTCTGAAGATCAAAGGAAAGTTTAAAACAAAAACACCAACTTCCCTGGTGCCCATGACGCCCACTCCATTGACAGGGAGGGGCTCGGGGTCAGCACCGCGCATCCAACATCAGCCCCGCATGTCACTGGTCAGCACCCGTGTCACCGGTCAGCCCCGTGTGTCA